GTCAGTGCTTCTTCATTGAGTCCATTTCTTTCAGAAACATTCTATGAAAAGATCTTCTCGCATGTTTTTGAGTTCTGCCACAGAAGCAACTATGTCATTGATTTAAGTCACATCAAAGTATTATCAATATATAAATTTTTCAAATAATGTTAACTTAATGTATATATAACAATTACCCCCAAAAACTCTCTGGGATTCTGTGGCTCTCTGAAAACTTTCTACTTCCATAAACGAGTTTGCTTGTTCCCTCTGCTAACACACGAACAGGATATGGAAGCCAATCGCTCCTCACAGGACTTCAAAGTCAATGTAAAAGTAAACGCGGCCCCTCCTGCAGACTTAGGCAAGATTCTGGCAGAAATAAGAGAAGATTATGAGGCTATAATTGAAAAGAATCGTCAAAGCCTGGACAACTGGTACAAAGAACAGGTAAGAGCTAGTCCCTGCTCATTTCCAAGCCCCCCGTGGCTGTACCTGCCTGACCAGAGTCTGAGCTTTTCTCTTGCTTCTCCTCCACAGAGTGCAGCAATGTCCCTGGCAGCAACCCCTAATCCCGAGCAGATCCAGCGCAACGAGAATGAGATCAAGGAGCTAAGGAGAACTTTGCAGTCCCTGGACATCGAGCTGCAGGCACAGATTAGTAAGGTATCTGCTGCAGACATCTCACTCACTCCCTGTATTCTCAGAAGTTGTCATGGATCAATTCTCCATTTAAATCCACAGCCCAGCATAACTTTGTTGCAGTTGTTAAAGTATGAGGGAAAGTAGAATTGAGATCATGCTTGACTTTGCCAAAATATGCAAAATATATTCAGGAACCATCACCAGGAAGTGAAAAATGTCTCTTCTTATGACAAAATATGAGAAGAAGAAGAAGGGATAGCTGACTCCAAGTCTAGAAAGAAAATGTGTCCAGAAGACAGATAGTAACACAAAGAATGCAAAGTTCATATTTACAAGCCCTGTTATCAGGCATGAATTACAAAAAGTGTGAAAAATATTGGTAGGGAGCTTTCACAAATATTACATAACCTTACACAGGTTAAAGCTTACATCCCAGAGACCTGGAGACTTTGGAGCAATTCTGGACAGCTCATGCAGAACGGGCAGGACAGACAGCAGTGTCAGGAGCAGAGCTTTGAGCAGAACGGATATGGCAGGGATAAATTACTCAGTTTTGCCTTTCATGCACACACGGCACAGCTTTGTGGTTCTGTTGCCTTCACAAGAATAGTTATGCAAATGCATAAGTGTTTAAATTACCACAGCCTTAATTTTGCAATCTTCTAGCTAGAGACCAAATTTGCTGGTATTTCTGTGTTGTATCTACCACATAAATAATAATCATGGTCTTGGTATTATCTGCCCCATCAGAAACACATGCTGGAAGACACCTTGGCTGACACTCGGAATTATTACGCTGCTGCACTTCAAAACATGCAGCAGATCATCTCCAGGTGTGAGGAGGAGCTGAGCCAGGTTCGTCACGACATGAAGCAGCAAAATAACCAATATAAGGTTCTTCTTGGGATCAAAACACGCCTGGAAAAGGAAATTTCCACATACCGCCTGCTGCTGGAAGGGAATGCTGACGGGTAAGGCAGAGCTGCCCTGACTGGAACAGATGAGAGTTCTCATATTTGGATTATTTATTTGTTTGTTTGTTTATGCTTAATCAAAGCTTGTGAGTCCCATACTACATCAAGGGTTGGTATTTTAATATGACGGATCATAATAAAAAGCCGGAGCCACTTAGAGTACAGAGACGCTGGTACCCATGTAATTTGAACTACCTAAATTAATATAACTTTTTATTTTAAAAAGAATAAAATTCTCCACTCCCGTGGCATGGCCATCTCAGCATAGGAGAACACTGGCCTCAGTTTTATTCTCTCATCTGATTTGTATGAAGTCAAAAAAGGAAGATCAGCAGCTTTTACCACTGCAACTCTCAGGCAGGCAGGACAGAGAGCCCTCAAGTGTGAGGGTATTTCTCACAAGCCAAATTGGGATCAACCTGAGCAACTCCATGAGAACCAATGCACCTCTCCCTGGGAGCAGTAGTTAATGTGCCCAGGGATTTTTCCAGTGAGAGTATCTACCAAAGGGAAAGCTCACATGGTATAAAATCACCATTCTTTATCCTTCTTCTTTTTTTTTTTAATTTTGTCTCATAGTCTCCTTAGAAACAGTGAGAAAGGTATAAATAACTTTTTGAAATTATTGTAACATTATTTTCTATTTCATTATCTTCACAGGACAGCAAGAAAATCTGAAACTAAAGGTAAAAGTTCCTTACTTTGTTCTCTGTAGTGACTCTTAATTACTGTCATTTCCAATCAAATTTTACTCAGAGCAATTTTAACCTCACCTGAGTGAACTGTGGAAGGTGTGCATAGCAGGCTCACACAGGCCTTTGAGAAGCATTTCAGCTGTTCCTGGCTGCTGTGAAAGGCTCACTGCAGAGCCCATGGGCTCCCTGAGCCCCTGCCCCGTCAGTCACCCAGCAGCCACAGCTCAGGCTCCAGACTGAGGCTTTCCTGGGATATGAGGAGGCAAGGAGACTCCACTGAGTGACTAAAACAGCGTTAGGGCTTGAGAGCAAACCGAAAATCTGCATGTCTGGGAACTCATATTCTGGCATGGGTATGACCTGCAGACATCCAGGATAATCTGCTGGATTTGCATTGGCTGGGCTCTCCCTGTGTTATTCATTTGCCCTGACCTGGACCAGACCCAGGGTGACTTTCTGGCAGCAGATTTCACACAGAGCAATAACAAATATTGACTTGAAGGAAAACATGTAGAGAAAACTTTGTTGAGGAGGCAGCAGGCAAAAGACTGTAAATGAGGCTTTCCTTGCATCGCCTTTTCTCAGCATTGCTCCTTGGCTAATTAAACTTTCTTTTCTTTCAGAACACTCTGGGCTGAGCAACCGAAAGCTCAAAGCGATTGTCCACGACAGCGTGAATGGGGAGGTGGTGTCCTCCACCATCAACGAGCTCCCCCCACAAGCCTGAAGGAAAGCTCTGCCAACCAGCAGCTTTCCCAGCAGCAGTTCCCACGGCCCCTCTGGGAACAGTGTGCCGTGGGCTGGCTCCCGTGTGTCAAACAGGGATCCTGTAGTGAACGCGCTTCTCCAATGATCTGCAGCCGAACGCTGCAAAGTGCCACACAGAGCTGGGTATAGCTGACATTGGTAGTTTAAAGAGCTTTTAGTCACCAAAATGCTGGAAAAAAGCTGTTGAATTAAAGTGACTGGATGAGCTAGTGGCAGATGTATTGTGCACATCTCCCCAGGGCAGGAATATCCATCTGGGATTCAGTTATCACTCTGCAAATTAGCTATAATTTAAGGGGAATAGTCTCTCAACTTTTTTCCTTGGTCTTATGCCTCTCATCATATACCTCACTGCAGCCAATAAATTTTTATGCATTATTTGTTCTGGTCCTTGCAATATCTGATTTTGCGTTCCCTTACATATGCCCAGTCCACTGTGGCAGTGTCATTGACATGGCTCAGGACAGCCAAAGCCTCATTGTTTCAGGAGGGACAATACTGGAAGACCACAAAAAAGAAAAGAGGAGACACAAGTTACAGGTGACATTTACATGAGCAAAACTATTCTACTTCCCTATACACAACTTATCAAACTCACCATTTCAAACAGCATTATGAGTAGGAGTGTTCTAAAGTCACTTTACTAAAAATAGTCCCCCAGACACATATCTTTATTCTTCAGTTTGAGAGAAATTTTCTAGCACTGTCTTTACACACTTTCCCTCAGAGCCTGGAAGTACTTTTCCAGACACCCATTTTTTCTTGATGGCCCAGGTAATTCAAAAAACCATCTCAGTTATTTGGTCTCAAATTAATGTCACTGTCTCTGTCGAAGGGTTCTGCAGTCAGGCCAGACTGGTGTTTACAGTGCATGCTAACAACAGGGAGAGCTGTCTGCCTTAACTAAATTCAGGCTTCCTCCATTTCTCAGCTCAGCCCAATGCCCAAGTCAGCAGCAGACCCTGACAGCAATAGAGCCATGCAAAGATAAAATCTGGGCAAGGAAAAGAGAAATACCATTAGGATATTTAAATGAGGAAGAGTGTAAGGCAGAAGGAAGAGAGACCAAATGGAACATAATGAGTGTGTCAGGGATTTGCATTCCAAAGTCACTGTCTGCGTGTCCAGGGCAGTCTCGCATTCATGAGTGACATTATCATCATGTCCCATCATCCCCATGCACCATGGACACTCACAAAAGGGCTCCTGTTACCTGCCTTGCTTTGAAACAGGGCTCACAAAGGAAAGGGGAAATCTCAAAGGAAATGCAGATTAGCTGAACAAAGTCCACTTCTGTGGTACGATGTTCTGCTACTGGCGTGTTCCAACCAGATCCTGATCCCCCATTGCCCCCTGCACCCCAACTCTCCACCCTTGTTACACAAAGAGATCCCAAAAGCATTGGATGGATTACCTAATGGTTTCTTTAAACTGGGTAAAACTTGTAATACAGGATTAGTAACTGCTGGCTAATTAAGAGTGTCCTTCCTTATGGCTTACCAGATCTAACAAGCCAGACCTGGTGTTTGCAGCATCTGGACAAAATGTGCCCAGGTCTTCTTGAACAATTTTCTGTGTTATTTAAAGATATGTCCATTTATCAGATTTACATAGCAGAGCCACAAATAATTTACATCGCTGTGACACAAATAATTATAAAAACTTCTAAATAGCCCCTTATTTCTACATCAAAGTAAAGTATGTGCTTTGTGCTGGGTTATTGTGCTGAACTGCAAGAAAGAAAGAAAGAAAGAAGGAAAAGCAAATAATTGAAGTGCCTTATGGAACACGCCTGTCTTTATTTCACATTCCTGAGCAATGCTCTGGCTTTACTCTGTCCTGGTGTCCCCTCATGCAGAGGTAAGATGTGCTCCCCGTGTCCTATGTTACATTCAGCTGTGGTCCAAGTGGTGCTGGAGAAGAGGCAGCAGAATTCCTGCTAAGAGGCAGCAGAATTCCTGTTCTTTCCTGCTAAGAGGTAGTAGAATTCCCATTCTCCTCTGCTGAAAGGCAGCAGAATTCCCACATCACCCCACCACTCTGATGATTTAACCTTCTCTTGCACCTGTGCTGTTGTACTCTGTACAGGTCAGACCAGTACAGCTCACAGCACCATCCTAACTGCTCACTCCATTATTGACACCATCGTGCACTGATGGTTCAGCCATTCAAGTGTCTTTTACTAAGTGGAGTAAATCAATTAGTCCTTAAACATACAAACAGGCATTACACCACATTCTGTTTGCTTCTGGAAAAAATTGCTGATTTCTGGAGAACCTTTAACAGCTTCAGAATGCTCTGTAGAACTGCAGATCTCCTTTCTGTTGAACAGCTTGTGACACCGTGTCACCAGACATGTGCCCTGTATCTGGTGGTTACTCATTACCTCTGAATTTGTGCTCTGGTAGATAAGCTATGCATTCCTAAATTTATTTAGGGTGGGTCTGCACCCTAAATAATAAATAATGATGCTAATACTTACCACTTGCATGCACTGTTAACATCACATTCTCACACCATGCTGAGAGATGAAGTCAGGGAGATAATGAATGGGGGCAGTATTATCATTCCCACTTTATTGCCTGAGAAATTGGAAAAACAGATGACACAATATGCTCAAGGCTGCAAAGAAAGTCACTGAGAGCCACTAAATTAGAATCCATCACTTCACAGCTTCTACTTAGCCCAGCTGTTAGATAAAACAACTTCCTGAAGAGCCATTCCCCACTCACAGCAATCCTGTCAGTGTCTGATGCCTCGGAAGAGATAATGCCCTTCATTCATTCCAAGTGTTTATGGCTGGTCAGGACCCTGAACACACACTGATGATGTTCTTCAATGCACCTGTGCCAACAGCCCACTGAAACGAGTCCTGTACAGAACCCTGTGCTGGTGGCTTTGTAGCATTTGGGAGACTTTAGGAGCACAGGTAGTGCTGCTGCTGATTTCAGAGCAGTGGCTTGAAGGGAAGGAAATATTCAGGACTGTGATAATGTATGGCTTGAAAAATGACTTTGTTAGTTCATTGTATTGCAACTGATCGAACTCTGCCAGCTTCTATTTGTTCTTCTTCAGTATCCCATGCACACAGAAGTGCCATTTCACCACCAAGAAAGTGACAGACCCAGACACAAAGAAAGTGCAATTTGAAAAATATTGAAGTGTTATTAAAAACAACAGCCTCCAAGTGAATAAATTCTATTTCCCATAAATGGAAAAGGATAGCAGAGAAACATGAGCAGAAGAGAACAGCCTTTCTCAGTCTAATTGAATGATGCAACAATACTTCTGCAAACCAACAAGATACAGGAACTCAGCCTATAAAAGGAGGCTGAAACCATCAGCGTTCACAGCTGGCTCCTTGCAGTTTCACCTGCCATTTAAGGCAGTCCTGCACGGAATAATCCTCAGCATGATTTCCAAGAGCCTTGACTGCACTCCAGCCTGGGCATGAGTCACAGCTCATTTCACTTGTAGAAATGTTAAAACTTATTAAGGTGTATTACAATAGGCAGCTTTGGTAAGTGAAGTGTTGATCCCCTGGAAGAAGTGTGCGATGAGGTAATGCAGTCATGGTTTGTGCTATTAATCACACATTCTTCTGGGGAGCTGGCCCCACACTGCTGGGGTTCAGCCTTATTTATCAACAGCCACATCTGTACAATGAAAATTTTTGCTTTCTGCCTTCCTGGTTAATGCAGATGCAAAATTAACAAAGTCATTTCAGAAAGGGAAGAAAAGAAATCTTGCCTTTGTAACACTGCTAAACCCACGGGTTCTATGGATTATTGAAGCAGAGAGAATAGGTAGAAGAGCCGGTAAAACATTTCACAATGTCCACACCCTGACCTATAAAGGTTTCTACAGTTTTGCTAGGAGATGCCTGTTCCTGTGTATGAATCATTTAGAAAAAGGACGAATATATAAACAGGGAAGTAAGGAAAGAATAATGCTGGAGAGGCTGCACTCCCTGTCCCCCCATGTCCTGCATTATACAGCAAAAGCATCTTAATTATTGACTCTACCTGGATATTTGGCTTGGTGAAATCCTAACTAAAGTTTTACCATGTGTTGTTTCCTCATCATTCCTCCCTCTGTAAATTTTTAAATTCTTTTCAAGTTGTACTTTTATGATAGCCTTAATTGTGTGACTATATTGAAATTACCTACTTGAGTCCCTGGCCTAGGACTGGCACGAACAAATCGTCTGCAAAAGTATTCCGTGAAACAGAAGTGCCAATGTTGGACAATTTGGAGTGTCCCTATGGCAGGAACTCCCAGTGTGAGACATGACCTAATGGTGAGACAGGTGCAGGGATCCTTCTTCTGGACATGTTAATTTGCTTTTTGAATGTCTGAATATGCATCAGAAGCTTAAAGGCATAAAATCATAACACCAGCTGTGGTAAAGATACTTTCAATAACTATATAGACTTCAGGGGTAAATTTTTTGGCTTTCCAATGTCCTAAGGACAAGTCCAAAGGAGTTGATGTGACGGGCTGTAATTAGGCTCTATAGAAAGCAACAAAAATGAGGAATATAATTTGGAAAAATGTGTTTCAATTAAGAGGCATAATTAGCTTGAGCAGGCAGGGAAATGGAGAAACAGGATGAAGTAGCTACAAACTACAGTTCTTCCTTAGAACAGAAGTTAAAGGTGTGCTGCCTTTAGAGAAGTACCAGCTTTGACTCAGCTCTGCACCCCTGAAACAACTTATAAGAAAATAAAAGATCAAATGCATCAAACAAAAAACTGGGAGTGACTCTTGCCAGAACAATTTCAAAGCAGGAAATCTGTAATGTTGCTGCAAGCAGAGAGAAATTGTGATCATAAAGTTACCTGTGCAGGAAAGAAAACACATTCTTATTAATGAGAAAAAATAGTAATTTTTGAAAGTCATTCCAGCCCCCAGGCTCTGCTTCTAGGTTAATCTTACAAGAAACAGTTTCAAGACATTCTGAGAGTGTATCTCTGTTACTGTAGAGAACAAAAACCTTAAAACCACAAACAAAGAAACCTTGTATTTAATGTCTACAGCCTATCGCTACCTAAAAATTGAGATATTCAAGCATCAGTCATATAAAAGAGTGTAATTCAAAAGGATTATGAACACTCCCTGTCGTCGAAGACTTACATGTCAGAATTTAGAAAGATAGCCCATTCTTCTTGCCATTGCTTCCAAACCCATTCCATGCACAGCACTGAACTCCGTAATTATGGCTGGTGGCTCTGAAAATAAATACTCCTCTAAACATTTGACCACAAGAGCGATGCAACTAAATTTCCTGTTGATATAGGGCCAGTAAAGTGGATACTTATGAGACATTTCCTTATGTAATGCGTAAGTTTTATTCTCTCGTTCAAGCTCCGCACGGATTCTCCCGCGGTGCTCACACGGCAGGGCTGGAGGCAGCTCCGTTCCGAAGGCCGGTGGTGGCCTCTAGTGACAACCAGGTAGATCCGCACGGAGCCCGCTGCCTGTCCCCGCTCCTGCCGCTCCTCCGGGGCTCCTGCGGCTGGGGAACAGCTTCTACCGGGACATTTCTGCTGCGGTGTTTGTGCAGTGAACGAAATTAGCAGTGCCAGACTCCCTCCAGGGGAGTATGCAGACGGATTTTCGGCCCGTTTCCTTTCTTTTGCTTTTTTGGTATCTGCTTTCCTGACACAGATCTTGATGCTGGGAGGGTATTTTGGGTTGTAAGCAGCCCATAGCTTGTTCCTGGTTGTAAAAACCCCGGGAGTGGGGATGCTGTGGGATCGCTGGGATGCACTGAAAGGATGATATTCCAGAGAAGTCCCCAAACAAGAAGCTGCAGCTACCCAGGCACTCCTGGCATTATGAGTGTAATTTTACCCTGGGGAAAAAATTGAGTTTTTCTTCTGATTTGGGGGCTCAAGGTGTGACACAAGTGAGATCCCCAGAACCACAATTTTTTTTTTTTTAAGTAAGCAAAAAATCTACACGGATATGAACATGTGAAATACAGTGTGGTTGTACATATCTTTTACAGTGTACAATCAGTGTGTACCTATTTGCACAGGGCCGTGAAAATTGTATTTGCCTCCTGAATCACAGAAATATGCAATATCTTTCATGGATACTGAACTACTCCAGCATTAAGGAACTGAGAGAGTCAGTAGGCTGGTATTCTCTCCAGTTCACTGGTTTTCTCTTTCCCTTGATACTTCAGTTGCACAGGGTTTTTCCAAGGGAGAGAGCTCTGCCAGCAGTCCTGTGTTGGAGTTGATCTTAATGGCACTTTTGGGGAAGAAAAAAGAGAAGGTTCGTTTGTGTGGCCTGGAGCTGTTTTTGTTGGCACTGAGATCTGATTCTGTTCAAGGAGAGCAGCTGAGACAGGAAAGGCAGCTCCTGACTTTCATTTTCCACCTGTGGCTGGGGAGGGATGGAACCCACACACTGCCTCATGCACCACTCCAGGAGCTGGAACACCTCTCTAAGTACCATAAATATGTAATGTTTTAACTTACCCCTCTGGTCAAAGCTCCAAGCAGAAAGAAATAAGATGTAGTGGTTTGATGACTGAGATATTTTCATTGGACAAAAGATAAAACGGAGAGGGAAATGAGGGGAAAAAAATACGTGAGGCAGACAGTGTAAGATCTTGAACTGCAAATGTTCAGGGCCTAGGTGAATCCAGCTGAGTTGGTGACATCATCCAGAACTTTCTCTCCTCTGATCCCATTCAACAAAACACAAAATACCTTGCTTTGCTCTTTGGAGAGAGCAGGCTTCACAGGCATTGGCATTAACAAGAGATGTAAGGGTAGTTAAGAAAAGAAGGAGGGGAATATCTCAGACCCAGAAATATTGAATACTGGAATAAGGCTGGAACACTGAAAACAGAATGCTTCTCCCCTGAGAGCAGTTTGCATAGCAATGTCCTTTCAGGACTGTAGCGTAGCTCTTTCAGAATCAAACCCTTATGATATTAAACCCAAACACAGGGGTTAACAGGGACCAGCAAAAGGGTGCTAGATTTCACTCCTAGAATAGATCATCTCTACTGACTGAACTAGAAGACTTTGCTTTATTTCAGTCTCTATGTCAGCCAAAAGAAAAGCATCTGTTCCACCTAAAGGCAGCAAAAATGCAGACCCATAGCTGGGTGTGTCTTTTTTCCTTGAACTCTCCAGACTGGTTGCCCATGGCTGGTTAGCACAGGTGAGTCAGATGGAATGGCATCCACATTATCAGAGCCCTGCAGAACTTATCTCCATGGCCTTCTAATGCACATTAAACTTCTGTCACACAGGTGACATTTCTTCATTAAATCAAACAAATCATTAGTGTTGCTATAAATGTTTTATTACATTTATAGGCAATCCACTCTGACCAAGGACAACACTGAAGGGAAGTGCTACCTGTGAACACACAGATTGTCCTTTACAGCTCCCACAAATGAGTCTGGAGCTGAAACTGCTCTGCTGAGCTAAGCACCAGCAAACTGTTACAGCACTTCTTCAATGCTGACCAAAATTGCAGTACTGGACAATGTATTTTTAGGTTGCCCAACATCTCTTTAGATAACTTAATCTTACAACCAAAAAAATAAAAAAATAAATAAAAATGAGGCAGCCATGTTCTTGCAGAAAATTCCTGGGCATAGTCCAGGGGTGGAGGACGCTGAGGCCACTCCCAGCTGACGCCTTGAGGAGCCCCTCACCCTCCAGCCCGGCTGGGGCCTCGTCCTCCTCCCACTGCCATGGCTGCAGCTGCAGGGCTCCCTCTGGCAGTTTCCACTGATTGATACAACCAGTCAAGATACATCTCACGGAAAAAAGTGTACTGAACCAAAACCAGGAGCAAACCCCACCTCTGATGTTGATCTATCCTGATCCTAGCAAGTATTCTTGCAAATATTCTGGCTTTTTGGGGAGGAAATGATAAGGCCAGAGAAATTGTCCGTGAACAATTGAGGGATGAGAATAAAAAGAACACTAAGAAAATTCAGCTTTGTATCTTTTCACGTTGGGTTTGCATGATGCCATTGCTCCTTGCTTCCTCTTGCATGCATCTTGGATGCTTCTGCTGAACAGTCCATAGGAAAATAATTGCTGGAGATTCAGCTTCTAAAAAAGCAGCAGAGTCATAACACAAGGCAAATGTCTGACCTAAGCCTGATGGTCACCTTCATTCAGATCACTGACTTCTTTTTTTCATTTGTTCACATAATAAAAAGAAATAGAACCTCCAAATTATGTTTAAAACAATATCACCCAGGTAACATGGAAACTAATTTTAATACTGAGAAGAAAAAGCAGAATGTTTGCTCTTAAACAGACTGCCACACAATCCTGCAGAGATCTAGGCAGTGAGATACAGAGCCAAGGAATGTAAGACCAGCAGGATCTCTTCTGTACTCCTCTTACAGTCGAAAGATGTAGAGTCTGCTCTACTAAAATGAGCAATTCTTACTCAGCCTGAATAATTTCAATGGAAAAATGACAACCCACCCTAAGTCTCTGTAGTGACACGCCAAATGTCATGGCCACTGTACTTTGGTATCATATCTCATAAATGTTTTTTTATTACAAGTTACACCCAAAGAAGTTCAAGGTTCAAAGACACTCCACAGCATCCTCTTGGAAAGAAAAATCCTGCCCTGCACACTGATTGCTTTGGTTTGGAAGCTGTGTTTCCAGAACAGCCAAATATAAGAGTTTAACTCTCTCTCGAGTCAAGACCAGTTAGATTAATGCCTAGCATAGTAACTTTAAAAACTTGGCAGTACTGATTCCCTAATATATTGGGTATTCCCTAATACCAAACTATTCTGGTTTGGGTGCTCTCCAATACACGTTTCAATGCCTCCAAAGCTCTGTGTCTCACCAATTTCCTTGCCCCAAGCTGGAATATCAGTAGGTACAGCAGCTGCTCTCACTAACACAAGCCATGTGTGTTCATTGTTCTACCTGAAAACATCAGTAGCACACATAAGCACTGTCAGTGCAATGCCCCAGGAGCTGCACCTCCTGCCACCCACTCTCCTGCACCACTAACAACCCCTCAGCAATCAGGTTTTTCCTTTGCTTTACAAATTCTCCATGCACTTTCTGCATCAAGGGTACTCCACAGTCAGCTCAGGAGCATCCTCCACACGATCAGCAGCAGGATGGTTGAGTCTCTTCATGCCATGGAAAGGCAGCTGGTTTCCTGTTAATGACAACAGCCCCTGGGCTGGGGACAGACCCCCCAGCATGGTACTTGTTAACTGATGGTCTCTGATGAGGCAGGAGGGAAACTTGTTTTGCTTCAACTTCAGCCACACTGGAGGGCTGGAAGGTCGTTCTACTGGAAGCTGGAACTCAACACTTCCTGCCAATCTATGGACCTCAGCATTTCACATGTGAAACAGTGGGCTGTGAAGGCTTCCAATATTCTCATTCCTCCTACCTTATTTAAAGAAATATTCTTTCCACTCAACCTCAGCTGTACTGAAAGCTCAAATTCAACTTGCAATGGTTTTCTTATACAAGACAAATGTATATTCAATCCAAGCTGATGGCAACAGCCTCCACTCTTCACTGGCAGTGCAGATGTTGGTTTGTGCTCACTATGAAATGAATTCACATGGTAGTACAGCTGCCTCCTTTCTAATAATATATACACTGTTCTAGAATGTCCTGAGGCCCAAGTTATTGCTTACTCAACAGAAATATAAATATTTTAAGTCTCTTGTCACATATAAGCAACTCTCATTTTAAATTCATGCACTGCATAGGGGGATAAGAACCTACTCATTTGTTTCAAAGGGCTACAGAGAGGGTTGGCTGCAGGTACATGGTTATAAATGATTCAACAGATCATTTTTTGTTTATCTGTTATACAAAATAACAAAGCAAGCAAACTACCCAGGGAGTGTTCCTCAAACACAGACGAACAGATGAGAACCCCTTCAAATTATGGGGAGGGGGGGGCAATATCCTGTGTGCTCTTTGTACTGATATCAGTGACACTCTGCGTCAACATAGGTGGGGTTTCCAGCCATTGTGCTTCCTCTTGGACCTGTATAAAGGTGCACAGTGCACACTCAGCTCCTGACTGGCATCTCAATCTGTGCTGATTTACCTGCTTCAGTCTAGAAGACAAAGAGCACAAATGGCATTCTCCACCCACAGCATCCAGTGGAGTACGAGCAGCCGTGTCCAGCCCTCTGCACCCAGTGTCAGTAGTGTGACCTCCAGAAAAATGTCCATCCAGAAGATCCAGGCACCCAGTGTCTATGGGGGAGCTGGGGGCTATGGCACCCACATATCAACCAGCACCAGCTCTGGCCAAGGCCTCAGAGGGAGCCTCCAGCTCAGCATCACTGGGAGCGATGTGCTGCTCGCTGGCAATGAAA